CACCTCAGCCTCCCAAAGGCGCGGGATTACAGGCTGAGCCACCGAGCCCGGCTTGCACTGGTTTTCTAGTTGGCACCAACCAGCATTCCTTGGTAGCTTTTGGATACACCTAGGGTCTTGATTTCCATGGTTTTTCTCTGTTGCTTTGGGACCAGTCTAAGCCCATACTAATTCTGAGTTTCCCTGGCTGCCCTTTGGAGTCTAAAAACTATATTACTTCAGTTACATTGCTCTTTATGTATGGTCACTTTTTCACATTGATTAAAATTATTTTCTGCTATTGTGTTCCATACAAAGATGTGTTTATTGATTTATGCTCCAAGTTTTATATGAAAATAAAAACAATAAGAGACGCACTAGAGGAGAGGAGCGGGAGGATGGAGCACATATGTTAGCCAAGCCTGAGAGGAGAACGATGCAGATTTAGAGTAATATGTTGCTCTGCTGAAATTCCCCACATTGAGCACCCTCAGTCTGAATACTTGAGCTTTGAAAAATGTGGGCTATGGTTAAAGTGTTGGAGCAGCCTCAAAACTGAACAGCAGTTATTCATGTCTTCTTTTCTTTTTAGGTGCATGCTATTATGATGCTAATCAGTCTATGTATGTGTTCGGAGGCTGTACCCAGAGCAGCTGCAATGCTGCCTTCAATGACCTCTGGAGACTTGACCTAAATAGCAAAGAGTGGATCCGACCTTTGGCTTCAGGTAAGAGATGAAATGCTGATGTTTGCCTTCTTACCAGGTTACTCCCTTGGCATGGAAACTCAGCCTAGCTCTTTTGGTCTCAAAGATAGGTTATTGGGACCCTAGATCCTTTGTCAAATCTGCTGTGTAAATGATAAAAATAATATGCTTGTCTGAGTCTTCAAATTTTTTTAAATTATGCTTTATCATTAGTATCAGTACCCTGCCAAAACTGCTCTACTACTGTGTGAATTCATTTGCATGGTTTTCCCAAGTACTCATGCAGGTGTGACATGCCATTTGGTATGAGGTTGAGGTAAGAACACAAACACAGAACCGTGAGAACTGTAGTTGACTGACGGAAGCTATTGTCCTAGGGCTAAGGTCTCTGAATATCTTTTGTTGTTGCCAGTGCAGATATTTGGGGAGTGTATGAGACGTGCCTCTGCTAGTTACTCTTAACAACTCAGGGGTGTGGGAAGATTCCATAGTAGGTGCATTCCTGCACAGTCTCACTATGCCAAAAATCTGGCAGAAAAGAAACTAGGTATATATATTTTTGACCTAACCTTTCTGGAGGTGGAGAGGGGAAGAAAAACACAATTATTTTTGCATTCATGAGGCAGGACAGTTTGAAGAGGCAAAGTTATATGATTAGAGAGGCTGGTGGGATGGAGAAGGAGAGTATGCTGAGTATAAAGTATTCTATATTTGTTGGCAAGCTTTTCCCAAAACATTGTTCATTTGACTTTTCTTTTTTTTTTTTTGAGTTGGAGTCTCACTCTGTCACCCAGACTGGAGTGCAGTGGCCACTCCTGGCCGCCGCAGCCTCGACCTGCTGGGCTCCGGTGATCCTTCTGCCTCAGCCTTCTGAGTAGCCAGAATTACAGGCGCGTGCTACCACATACGGCTAATTTTTGATTTATCGTAGAGATGAGGTCTCACCAAGTTGCCCAGGCGGGTCTCGAACCCGCAGGCTCAGGCAATCCACTCACCTCAGCCTCTCAAAGCGCGGGATTACAGGCTGAGCCAGTGAGCCCGGCTTCATTTGACTTTTCAAGGTTAGAACTTACCTTAGAACTAAGGATCCTGGGTTTTCCTTGGACAGATTCCTTAGTAATTTAGGCCTTGCCTTACTACTGTGATTACTGGATGGGAGGTAACATGATGTATCAGGAAGGGCACTGAACTAAGAGTGAAGAGACATGAGTATTATTTCCTGGCATAGTCACCAGTTGTCTTTGTAACTTTGAATAATTTGCTGCACTTCTCTGGGAGAAATGTGGAGTAAAACTAGATGATTCTATTTTTAAATGGGCTGAGAAGGCTAGTTTATGTTCCCTTTATTTATATAGTCCCTGCTGTGAATATATAGGTCAGGGGCTTAAACTTACTTATGAGAAGCAGCTACATTTTGCTTCCCCAAAGCTGTAAGCTTCTGTTTCTTTCTCCTGCATTAGCAAATATAGGAGTAGCAAACTGACTGTGGATTCTCATAGGTGAGGCTGGGGTTTGTGTAGATGAAGTCCTTTATTAAAATTATTGGCATTTTGGAGAGTGGTGGCTGAGTCTGAGGTCAGACTATTGATCACCTTCCTCTTCTCGTTGCAATCAATAAAAGCTGTTCGATTATTGGAAGGATAAAGAAATGGCAGCACAGAAAAAGCTTGAAGCTTAATATTATATTAGGACCCTCCAAATTGTATACTTTGGAAGGTTGCCTTTTTAGCCCTGTGTCCCCTGTTGAGCTTAGTGCAATATTGATTAATGTTTAGAGTTTGAGATTCTGAGTGTAGAATTTCTTCTCAGTTTGAGATTCTGTTGCCCCTGTATTTGGCATTTTGTCCAGGCCCCATTTCAGAGCAGCTTTGTTTGTGCGAATCACAAAATACTATTACTGCCTTCCTCTACTTTGTAACCAGGCTTTATGCTTTTGATAATTTGGCATGAGTGTTGCTCTTGTGAAAACGGAGCTCTGGCTTTGGGCCCTTGATTGCTTCTACCAACTACTTTGCTTAGTTCTCCCTTTAAGATGGACATAGGACTTTTTTTTTTTTAACCACCAACTTTAAAGACTATGCTTTGAAATCCTCAAGGTAGAAATGTTGGAGAAATAATTGGTTTGATAATTTAGACTCTCCATAGTATCTAAAAGTTGAAAAATAGAGCATTTAAGATACCCTCTTTGGTACAACTTATAAACTTCTGGATGTTTTAAAAGTAATTTTCTAGCCGGGCTTGGTGGTCAGCCTGTAATCGCGCGCCTTTGGGAGGCTGAGGTGAGTGGATTGCCTGAGCCCGCGGTTTCGAGACCCACCTGAGCAGACGAGACCTCATCTCTACAATAAATCAAAAAAATTAGCCGGGTGTGGTAGCGCGCGCCTGTAGTTCCAGCTACTTGGAAGGCTGAGGCGGAAGGATCGCCGGAGCCCAGCAGGTCAAGGCTGCGGTGGCCGGGAGCGGCCACTGCACTCCAGTCTGGGCAACAGTGAGACTCCAATTCAAAAAAAAATAATAATAATTTTCTAACAAAATGTCTCAGAGAAGCTAGTTACTGCCTCACCCTAATCTACAATTAGAGGCTAGTTTTAAAGGGAGGAAAAACTGAGCTTATTGAAATGTCTACTTAATAAGAACAACAGTTTAATGATTCCTGTGAGATTCTTATTTAAGCAGAAATCCCATGGGAAGATTCCCTGAGGAAATGTTTCTGCATGCTGTCATGAGTCCCAACCAAAATCACTTCCTAACTGAAACATTAGTAAGTCTTTCTGAACAAAAAGTCTTTCTGTTTTTATATGTCTTGGTGTGCCTGACTCACTCATTTTAGTGCATTGCGGTAAGTAGGTTGGAGGGAGGTTGTGGAGAGGGTGCTTCCTACCTCCTTTTGGTGTCAATTGTGAGGTAGTCCTCTATCATTCAAGTGTGTGCAAGTGGTGATGTAGCTTTTACAGTGTGCAGTCTTCAAAAGCATAGCTGTTGGAGAAGTAAGCAGTCAAGCACTTTTGGTTGGGAGTGGAGAGTCTTGATAGAGCATGCTGCTGCACCAGGTGTCTTTTTACATGTGTATTTGGTTACGCTGCAAATGAGTCTGGGGCATTCTCATTTTGATGGTGTCTTCATCAGCTCAGGCTGCTGTAACAAAATACAGTAAGTCCCCCACATATGAACCTTCAAGTTATGAACTTTAACGATGTACACCTGCATTTTTAATGTATTATTTCTCTCCACCAGGTGTCAGTATAGTCTAATAAATACATACAGTATTAGAGAGTCGATTGTGTTAGTTGGGTAACTAGGCTAGCTTTGTTGGACTTAAAACAAATTGGACTTACAAATGCACTCTCAGAACAGAACTTGTCATATGTTGGGAACTTCCTATACCACAGGCTGGGTAGCTTAAACAACAGAAATTTATTTCTCACAGTTCTAGAGGCAGGAAGTTCATTATCAGGATGCCAGCATGGTTGGGTTCTGGTGAGGTTTGTTTTCCCAACTTGCAGGCAGTCTTCTCATTGTGTCCTCATTTGGCAGAGAGAGCACTGGTGTCTCTACACCTCTTGTAAGGGGCCTACCCTCATGGCCTCATCTAAACCTAATTATCTCCTAAATGTTCCATCTCCAAATATCACATTGGAGGTTAGGACCCCATCATTTGAATTTGGTGGGGGGACAAAATTCATGTACACCAGGTGGAATTCACATGATTTACAAATGATATCTTGTCTTTAGTGCTTTTCAGAATGTTGGAGGTGCTCCATCTGGAGGTAGGATGGGGGTGAGAGCTGGGATGACATCCTACAGCTGGAAGAGACCTACAGCTAGTAGGTGGGAGTGTGCTTGTGGTAGTCAGGGTAATGAGGAATTTAGTGTGACTGGAGTAGAGTGAACAAAGGGCAGGGTACAAGGAGAGGAGGCTGGACAAATCAAGAAGTAGGAGGTTTCAAGGACTTTGCTGTATTCTTTGAGTTGAATCACTAGTCATTTAGATTTTTAAGAAGAGACTGAGTAAGAGGACAAGTATGGAAGAGAGGGGACCGGGTTTAAGAGGTGGTAGCAATAATCTATGCCAAAAATGATGGGGACTTGGACTAGGGTATTGGCAAAAGATAAGAATTTTTAAAATTAAAAAAAAACAAAACAATAAGAATTGGTTGGATCTGATAGAGCCAAAAGGATTTGCCCATGGGGATGTAGAGCGGGAAAGAGAGAGGCGTTAAGGGTGACCCTTAAGCTTTTTAGCCTTGGCATTTGAAAGGGTGATGTTGCCATTAACTGAGATGGGGAAGATTGTGGTAGTCAGGATTGGCAAGGGGCAGGAGAGATGAAAAATTCCACTTGAAACATGCTAGGCATGAGCTGCTTGTTTTAAGACCTGAAGGCAGCAATGCATATATATGGAGTTCAGGAGAGACCCACAGGCTAGAGATAGCCGTTTGGGGCTTATTAGTGTATCAGATGGATTAAAGTTGTGAGATTGAGATTACCAAGAGAGTGAGTGAAGACAGAGAAGTGGTGTAAGGACTAAGTGTGGGTGACTCCAGCTTTTGGGGACTAGGAGACTAGAAAAAGAGTGTCCAGTGAGATAGGAGAACACCAGGAGAGTATGGCATCTGGGAAGCCAGCATACTTGGGAAGTGTTTCCAGAAGGGGAAATAATCAACTGGGTTAAATGCAACTAAGAAGTCAAATCACGTGAAGACTGAGAGTTCAAACTTAATAGTAAAGAGAGCATGGTTCAATGAGTGGCAAGGGTGAAAACCTATTTGTAATAGCTTTAAGAAAATGGAAAGAGGGAAGTTGATGACAGTGAGTATGAACAACACACTAATTTTTTTTTTAAGAAGTTTGCTGTAAGCCGGGCTCGGTGGCTCAGCCTGTAATCCCACGCTTTGTGAGGCTGAGGTGAGTGGATTGCCTGAACTCGCGGGTTCGAGACCCGCCTGGACAACTTGGCGATACCTCATCTCTACAATAAATCAAAAATTAGCCGGGCGTGGTAGTGCGCTCCTGTAGTTCCG